TTTTTTTTTTTTTTTTTATCTATAATTCCGATAACAGAGGTGTTTGAATCTTCAAAAGGAACCGAGCATGATTATGACCGATTGACAAAAGAATTCTTCTTCCGAGGAAACCGTTCGACGGGAAAAATTTCTACGGAATTTTCCCTTGGCACTTTTTTTTATTTCTTTCTTTGACACGGTGGAAGAAGTTCGACGCTCGTACGACATTTAAGAATGCCTTTTGTTCGATATTCTATGACGAGAAAATACCATTTGGCGGGGCTTGAACCTTCGTTTTACCTGCGTATTCCGTTTGCTCAGCCCTGTTGGTATTCTACGTGCCGTCTGAATCGGGGGAAAAAGTCACCCTCGGGATTTCAGCGCTTCTCTCTATGACGGTCTTCCTAATGACTATTCGCGAGACACTGCCGCCCACGGAGAAAACACCATTGATAAGTGAGTATTTTTAATCAAGGATAATCGTCTTGAAACGGACAAATGGAAACACGTACTAATTTAATTTTACTTGAGATAATGACAAAAATCGTAGTTTGATATGACTGGAGATTATTTTTGAAATATTTCACGTAGTATTATTTTTGAAGTATTTCATTACGTGAAAATGTTTTAAGATACTTTACGCTCTGCAGCCAAATTATGTGAAAAGCGAAGCAAAGGGAAGAGACGATAAAAAGAGATTTACGATCATTATTTATCTCCATTGAAATGTGAAATTTTCCTTCCAGCAGTGTTGTGTTAAAGGAATGAAAACTTTCTTTACATCTAGATTCTCACTCGAAGAATCAGTATACTTTGTTTGAGGTACACGTAACATTAAACAAATTGACAGACGAGGGAGATGTGCATTTTATATTTTTTGCTTCTCACAGAGTTCCAACATAGTTGTAAATTAAGAAACTACGAAACTTTAGAGAAACTGTGATGATTTGGAAATTTTATTAAAAATAGGTTACATTTTATTTACATTTACCGACTTGACTTTTAGTTTCGCGATTATAGAAGTTTCTGCTTAAGAAATGACCCAATTAATAAGTTAAAAAAGTGAATTACCGTAAGACGAGCTGTGACAAAGTTAAATAAATAAACGAAAAAACTGGTTTAATTTCCAATTATTGCCAACTCAGTGAGAATCAAGCTAATACAGTGCTGAAACTTGATAGATTAGAGATGCCACTACAGTATAAAAATTAAAATCAAAGTGCTTCGTATTTCCATACTATTTTATATTCTTACCTCTATAGGGTTTGCGTAAAAATTTCTATTATTTGAATTATTATTTGATCACTGATAATATCGATATCGACAATGGCACAGTTGCGTTTTCTTTGAAAGTCTTCCAATACCAATACAAATGAATCACGTTTAACCAGTTGCAATTATTTAACAATTTACACAGAAACGCGAAAACACTCCACGGAGTGTCAATTAATTCGAGTTAATGGCCAATTTGCATCGACACAAATTATCATTATTATCATTTTCAGGTCTTTATTACGGTGTCAGTATATGCCTGGTATCGTTCGCTTCAGGATTAGCAGTGGTCACCTTGAATCTTCATCATCGTGGGGTTCAAGGTACCAGAGTGCCCGGTATCGTTCGATCGTTGGTTTTGGACAAGCTCGCCAGGATAGTGTTTCTTAATTTCCAGGAAGAGAAAAGATCGGTGAGTTTCATTTCTATTATTGAAAACACACATTCTTGGAATATTTTTAAAAATTCATCCTCATACTCGAATGAGAAATTATACGCATATTAGTAAGAATCTCTTTTGTTAATGAATTTTCTGAGTGTAAAAAAAAGAAACAATTCGGTCGAATGTAACCCAAAGGACGTAGCAGATTTAAATGAACTCTTCTGTCTATTGATTTTTCATTTAAGTGTAAAATTTCATCACATAAGAAAGAAATATTCAGCAAATAGAATTTATTTATTTATTGTTCGAGAGTATTTACTGTACATAATTTGCGTTAGGAGCCAGTCGAGCCGCCCAGAAGAAAAAACAATTGCCCACTGCACTGCAAACCGGAGTTGGCCCAGTCGCAGTCGTCGCCCAAGTTCGTGACCAGAAGAGAGGAAAGTAACAGCAGCAGCCCTAGTTTAGGTGAGCAACATGAAATTCGAGCAACTTGATCTCTATAACTTGGGAGGAAATTTTAGATCTTGGGAAAGAGAGCAGCCTGGAAGCTCAGTGGTTGCGCGTACTAGGAAGAGTGCACGCGACGATCGAGAGGAACGAAAAGCGACTAGCGGAGCAGGATCGTCGCGAACGAATGGAATTAGATTGGAAACAGGTCGCACTGGTCAGCGATCGAGCGCTACTTTGCGTTTTTTTCTTGACAACGATCGTCAGCACCACCGTCATCCTCTGTGGCTCTCCACCAACCACGAACATCGCCAAAGAGGGTTAGATTCGAGAGGGACGCTGATAAGAAAATTAAGTTAACCGAGCACGAGATTCGAGTAACTTCGTTTCGAATAAGATCGATGGATTAGGTATCGAGCATTGGTAATTATAAGTAATCTTTAGAGATAAGATGTATATCGTTCGTCTACTGGAGATAAACTGCTGCGAAAATAAATTTTTTCTGTTTTGTGACAATGTGTTTTTTTTTTATTAATTTCAGATATACTCTATATAAAAATTCCATAAATAACAAGTACTTGAATATATTTAAATATCAAGAAAGAAGTTCCAAAGATATATAAGGCATTCTTCTCAATAATAATCAGGTACAGGTGCACAGGCTATTTTTACAAAGTCTTCATATTTCACTTGTCCATTTAGAGATACGTTGGCTTCTCTAAAAATCTGCTCCACTGAAAATCAGAGATAAATGAGATTAATTAAAAATAGTTGTTGGAATATATTTTGATTAATTGAGAAAACCAACCTTCTTTGTTACTTAATTGCTCACCCCAATGGAGCAACATGTGTGCTAATTGTCTAGCAGGTATAGTACCAGTCCTAAATTTATCCGCAGCTTGGAAAGCATCTATCACTTCCTTTGGCAGATCTTCAGCTCTGGTTTGTAAATGCATAACTTCCAAGAAATCAGCGAAAGACATTTTCCCTCCTGTGGTTGAGAACCCGTGAGTGTAACATTTACATTATAGATTTACTTATCCATACATTACTTATCCATATACATACCTTTATCCTTTAAATATTTATTTAATTCTGCAATAGTCGGACTTAATCCTAATGATCTCATAATGATTGTAAGTTCATCCAGAGTGCGTATTTGGCCATTCCTTGCAAAGAGATAAAAACATTCTCTAAATTCTATAAAAGAAAAATACATTTTCATTTACAAATAACAATCTCAAGTAACAAAATAAGGAATTTCATACACTGTACCATCTATATCTTCTTCCCGAAAGTAGCGAGCCTAAAATCCAAAATATTGAATTAAACATTTAATTGCAAAATTAATATTTCAATAATATAAAATTGTACCATAGTATGAAACTTTATACAGAACACACTTGACAAAATGTTCTAACTTTGCTTTATTCGTTTACGTGTCAAATAGCGTTATCTGAGATAAAGTTAGGTTATGTTATTACTCGACATAACCTTACTTGACACATTCATTGTACAGAGGCGACATCCTCGAGTGCAGCGTGCATTAATCGCAACAATCAGTTATCACTAGCGATCGATCGATCCTCATTTAAATTTCGCATAGAAATTCCATCTACTTTTAATGTTATAAATAATGCTGAAGGTATAAAATTTTACTGCGAACCTCTTGTTAATTTAATAAACATCCCAAAATACTTGCGAAACAATTTTAAATCAGAATGAGAAATTCAATTACAATTTGAACGAATGTACGCGCACTTCTGTGTTCATGATTTTGAGTTGTATTAAAGCAGAGAAGGCAGGAAATTTGGAAGGGCGAAAGTAGTTCGAGCTATCAATAGGAAGTCACCCTGCGCGGTGTGGCCATCAGGAGGAAGGGAAAATGAACAAGATATAGTGGTCTGCGAGGCAAGCGTCGCTCGGTTTGGTTGGGGAAAGCGGGGTTAAATAAGCCTGCTGCGGGGGTTTTCCACGGAGGGGCCCCTCGCGTGTCAAATCACCCCTCTTCGACGATATCACGCGCTCGCCTTCTTCCGTTTACCGACACGTATGGTTGGCGCTAAACATCGTGGCTACGTGAACAAGAATTCAATGATGTAGTAAAGAAATTTCATTCATGTCTTCGTATCGAAAGGCGACAAACTTTTTATTGACATCTATGTAAATGACTGTGTTTCTCAATGCAGATTTAACAGACAATTTGCAGCCATGTTTAAGGGCCATTGATGTAATAGTTTAAAATGATATTAGCGATAAGAAGGAATTTTGACAAGACTTGGTGAGAAATGACAATGTCCATGCATTCACGTGCATTATTTTCCATTGGTACCAACAATATAAAACAATGATCGTAACCCTTTAATCGTAACTCTTCTGTTTCAGGAACACTCCTTTCCTTTGACCGACGGCTAAGGTCAAGTTACGCGGACGGTGGGAGTTGGAACACGGGTGGTCAGAGTGGGGCTCTGATGGAGGGGTTGATGGTACAACGTGCCACCATTGGAAAGCGTTGGTCCGCGTCCAGGTATGGAAGGGATCTCTGAAAAAGAAAGAGAACGCGCTATTAGGGGAATAAGAGGAGAGCTCGTAAGGCAAAAGGAGAGAGGGCGCAGCACAGCTGGGTCGAACGCGATCGCGCGGTGGGAGAAGTCGTTGTCCTCGGAGTCTTCGTTCGCACGAGTCACGAGCGTTCCCGTCAGTGCGACGCGGAACGCGTCCCTGTTTGTATCGTCGTGTAGGGTTGGTGTTGCGCATTCTACTTCATCAACTTCTCTCCCTCTTTCTCTGTCGGATTACTCATTTCTCCTTTCATTGTCGGCCGAAAGAGAAAGAGAGAGAACGACGGCACGCTACCGTGTGACACACGTGTGGTACTGTGAGTAGTTAGTGTGGTGCGGCAGGATGCGGTACAATGACCGTAAATGAATAATCGGCGACCCAGGGAAAACCGGTCGGAAGGACGAGGATCACGGCGGAAAGGACGCCCGTGGCAGGACTCGAACCGCTGTGCATAGGTAGGTGTCAGATAGTATGCGAGAGCAACGAGCAAGCGCAATATTCTACGTGCGGGTTTCTCCTTTTCCTTCCCTCCTGCCATCTCCTTTTCCCTCTCTCGCTCCATCCTTCGATTTATCCCTCGGTCTCTCTGTTTCTCAGTTCGCGCGGTTAAGCACCGTAGCTTTTTTTCGTCGTGCATGTCTACTCGTGCATCTCTCTCTCACACACACACACACACACACACATACACACACCGCTGTACGTATGTACGTTGACGTACGTACCTTTTCCCAGCACGATTCGCTACCTGTCGAAGAGAACGCGAGTCCTTCGTTCGGCAAACGATGCCACATTTCCCTCAACGCAGTTACGCGATGGCTCGTTTTATCACCTTGAAACGCAAGGAAACACGCGTCCCTTGTATCAACCGTCGAGAATCGCACGCTCATTCCCACCCTAGTTGTTTCGTACGCGAGTGTGTTTACCTCGGATTGCACGCGCACGATGGGAGATTTAAATGTCACGTAAAACGCGTTCCCAGCGCCATCGGGACATCTAACGGAAGTGATTTCGGCGGATGCTGACTTTTCGAGGGAACGCACGCGAATCGACACGATATATAGCTACGTATGTACGTGTTTCTTTTACGCACCCCATTTTTCCCCGCGAGACGGTTCGACGAACTGACGAAACGAGCTATATAGTGAAAATGCGAGAGGGAAAGGGATAATAATAGGATAGTCAAAGGGTTCGTGGCGAGAAATCTTTATCTTTGCGAGAAATTACGAAAGTTGTAGCGAGACTTTAATCGTCGTTTAATAAGAGAAGCGAGCGTTTAACGCGAGCACCGAATATCGAGTTGGTGCATGTAACGGGCGTTGCATAAGGACGCTTATCTACGTGAAAGTTATATTAAAAAATAGCTCGGAGAGTCCGTTAGGAAGTCGGGAAGCATTGTTCATCGCGCAACGGGTATCTTAAGAAACTTGCTCGGCGAATACAAAAGGACGCGTTAAGACTAATTAACGTTATCAATCGACGAAGTTTCCCGCGGAATCGCCCAACTCCCGTGTAATTACAAACTACGTTTAGCCAATATCATTCCATCGATATTGCACAACAACACGCCTCCGTTCCGATTCAGTTAATTCGACACGCCGTTTAAACAACACACTGTATTAAACATAACGGTTAATCCATCAACATTCGCGCGTCGATCGTCGAAAAGTCATTAAAGGCCAACGCTGGTTGGAACGCGATTGCAATTTCTTTTTTTC